GGTCTCTGTGTGAGTCTATGGGTCTATGTGTGAGTCTGTGGGTCTCTGTGTGAGTCTGTGGGTCTCTGTGTGAGTCTATGGGTCTCTGTGTGAGTCTGTGGGTCTCTGTGTGAGTCTATGGATCTCTGTGTGAGTCTGTGGGTCTATGTGTGAGTCTATGGGTCTCTGTGTGAGTCTGTGGGTCTCTGTGTGAGTCTGTGGGTCTCTGTGTGAGTCTGTGGGTCTCTGTGTGAGTCTATGAGTCTCTGTGTGAGTCTATGGGTCTCTGTGTGAGTCTGTGGGTCTCTGTGTGAGCATATGGGTCTCTGTGTGAGTCTATGGGTCTCTGTGTGAGTCTATGGGTCTCTGTGTGAGTCTATGGGTCTCTGTGTGAGTCTATGGGTCTCTGTGTGAGTCTATGGGTCTCTGTGTGAGTCTATGGGTCTCTGTGTGAGTCTATGAGTCTCTGTGTGAGTCTATGTGTCTCTGTGTGAGTCTATGAGTCTCTGTGTGAGTCTATGGGTCTCTGTGTTAGTCTATGGGTCTCTGTGTGAATCTATGTGTCTCTGTGTGAGTCTATGGGTCTCTGTGTGAATCTATGTGTCTCTGTGTGAGTCTATGAGTCTCTGTGTGAGTCTATGGGTCTCTGTGTGAGTCTATGGGTCTCTGTGTGAGTTTATGTGTCTCTGTGTGAGTCTGTGGGTCTCTGTGCGAGTCTATGGGTCTCTGTGTGAGTCTGTGGGTCTCTGTGTGAGTCTACGTATGTACGTATGTCTGTTGAACTTATTTTTAACCATACGTAGCGAACCGTGCTACATCGGAGGTTACGTTACGGTGACTTTTTGGCAATCCACTGCTGGATGACGGCCTTCTCCACAGACACTTCACCGCGCTGGTCATTGCGGGTTGGTCAAGGCTGGTGGGGAGCCCTGCATCGGCTCAGGTACCTCATGCCACTGATGTTAGCCGTGCAGGTACACCGCCCGCATGCTCCATAGCCGTGCGGCTGCCTGAACCCCAGGGTAGCTTTAGTCCGGCTCTGCGAGCCTCTTGATTTAAATCGAGACCCTTTGGTCGCCTGAGTCGAGCTCTGTGAGCTCTGTTGAATTAGCACTGAACCCTAAAAGGAGGGCTTTGTCTGGCCCCCGTGAGCCAAAGTGATTAACACTGAATCCTTTCGTAATCTCAGTCTGGCTCTGTGAGCCGAAGTAATTATCCTTAGTCTGGCTCTGTGAGCCACGGTGATTAACACTGAACTCGGGGGGGAGGGCGTGGTGCGGCTGGCATTTGGCCCTGGTGCAAGGAATTAATTTGGGCCCCCCCCCTCCCGTCCCGCCCCCCACCGTCTCCATGTGGCCTCTCCTGGCTCGTGGGCCCAGGTTGCAGTTGCACCGCCTGCACACCCGACTTCCACGCAGCCGTGCGGTTTTTTTTAAGACCGCGCGGAGCTCGTGGTGGTGGGGAGGGGGGGGTGTTTCATCCGAATTGCTGGCTCGCTTGCTTGGCACGCTCTGCCTCTCACAATGCCCGCGTCTCACGCTTTGTCTCCACCGCATGAAAGTTTAATAACTCATAAATGTTTCACGTCCAAGGAGGCTCCAGGCTCTCTCCCTCGCTCTCTCGCTCGCTCGCTCACGCCCCGCCGCCTCCCCCATCGCTCTTTACTTTTATCGAAATTTCTCGTCGTTTTCCTCCGGTTTTTATACTTTTTTCGTCTCGGTTTGCTCGCACGCATGCACGTGTTGAACTTCTTTCGCGCCGTACGCAGGCCAACCGTCGTGCTAACGGCTACTCGCGCACCGTCGTCGTCGTCATCTTCGTCACCGTCGTCGCCGTCGAGAGAGAGAGACCAAGAAAACTATTCGGGAAGTCTCGCCGAGCAGCGCGACCCTCTTCCGCGACGGAGAAAACGGCCCCGCGGAAGTGGACGTCACAGAGCTGCCTCCGAAAATTCTCTTCCCAAGTCGCCTCCGGTCCACGCGGCAACGGGGGCAGCACTTTGCCCGCCCGCCCGCCCTGCCGCTGAGAGTCGAGTAGCCACGCGAGACTGTCAACTGGGCGCGTGGACCAGAGGGTGGGCGCCACGGTGGCTAGGAGATGTTGACTACCTCGCCTGGTATACAGGAGGTCGTGGGTTCGATCCCGACCCTGACGTCTGCTGTATATTTGGAGTTTACGTGCCTCTCTCTCATCATCTGTGTATTTGGAGTTTGTGGGTTTCTCTCTCTCCCCGTAGTCGCGTAAATTTTTATCCCTGGTCCTCCGGCTTTTCCCTCCACATTTAGAATCAATATTCTTTGGGTCTTTCGGTAAAGTCACGTAGATAGGTTCAAAGAAAATTACATTTTTTTTACAAAAAGCGTTCGTCATCCTGATGACGAACGCTTGTATTGCGATCGAAACGTCGTAGTTTTTTGTTATTTACTTTGACCTATTTACGTGACTTTACCGAAAGATCCAAAGAACATGGATTCCTGCAGTCACGAAAGCTTTAAGTCAAGATTTAGAATCAACGTCCACGCGTTTATAGTATTTGGCTGCTATACATTTCCACGTGATGATGATAAACAACTTTGTTGAGCTATCATTTGTGACCAGGTCGCTTCTGAAAAAGAGCTGTATATAGCTCAGTGGGCCTTACCTGGTAAAACCTATAAACTTAATTTGAATTGTAGTTAGTTAAATAGTAACTCGGCACGCTTCGGAACCTGGTTTAATCACCTTTGGCTGCTGACACCTGGATTCGAACCCAGGGTCTCAGCGGTGCTGGCTTCGCGCTCTGACCTCTGACCTCTGAGCCATCCGCCCGCCTATCACCGTAACGGGTTCATTGCTCGCTTGTTTGGCCACAGATCTCCCTTGAAAACACGGCTTGCATCAAAGGGCTCGTAAGAACGAACAATAATGTACAGCCCCCCCCCCCTTGTTATAAGACACTATTCTGTGAAGGCCTTCCCACACCTGCTTTACCATACTTCACCACACACACTCTGGTCGGTGCAAGTTTGACGAATACGGAGGCGCCTGGGACCATTTCAGACATCGCCATTCGCCACTTTATGCCAGGACCATTGGCCCGGGAATCCAACTCAGGTGGCTGGGTTCCATGCGCAGTGTGCACCCCTACCGGCCCTTTACCCGCGTCACTACTTGGCCCCTTACCTGGCCCCTTACCTGGCCCCCTGGGTGCCTACCTGTACGTGCGGTGAACTTCTTTCGCACCGTACGTAGCCAGCCGTGCACTTCGGAGGTAGCGTCAAACGTATGGGGGGGTGGACGGTCTCTGGTTCTCGCCCCGCGCACGTGTGCGGCAGCCCGTTTGTCACTCCGCTGCTGGATGAGCGCCTCCCCACGCTGAATGGGGCTGTTTGACCATACTTCACCACGGCTCGCGTAGGCGATGGAGCACAGAAGTACGGTACAACACCGGACTGCCCTCGTAGCTTCCGCAGCAGCAGCAGCAGCAGCAGCAGCCTATAGCAGCCCTGTTTGTGTGCGTGGTGGTGGTTGCCCATCCATGAACTGGCCAGGCTCCAACCTGCTTAGCTTCCGAGATTCGACCAGATCTGCTACCTTACTCGTGGTCTCGTGTCTAACCGGTTCTTGCCATGGGCACGTGGAATTCCCACCGCTGGTATCAGTGCCGTGCGAGCCATGAGACTCGGGTCGTGTCAGAAGCAAGAATCGCGACGTTTCATTTCGAGTGCGGGAGGAATGCGATGAGCTATGAAGCACTTTCTTTCACAGATGTCCGGTAAGGGGCACACGAGGTATGAACGTTACCAGAACAGTGCCAACACACGATCGGAGTGCGGTGTATAGGGAAGGTAAACCTAATCACTTACATTTTTATAAAAATGTTCTTGCTGTGGATTTCACACCTGATGACGATTGCTTGTGTTGCAGTCGAAACGTCGTGAGAATTTTTATTGTTTTATATTTATATTATTTTATTATTTCCCTTCTACGTGACTTTACCGAAAGAACCAAGAATATAAATCACTTAAAAAATATACTAAACTTTATATATATTTTTAATTTTACCAGGTAAAGCTCGCTGAGCTATTAGCTTCTTTTTAAATCCTTTATATTAAGTTCACTTGCTTGCTTGCTTGCGCGCTTACGACCGTGCAAATCTTTCGGTCGTTTTTTAACCCACTTCCCGTGATCCAATCGAGCTGACATTTTGCACACAGACTCGTTGTGCGTGACAATTTATTTTCGTGAAATTTTTTTCCCATAACTTTACACTTTTTAGGAATTTTTTAAATATATTTAATTACCAATTGCTTAATAGTGGCAGGCAATCATCTGACCCATAGGTGGCAGCCATCTCAAGCCAGAGGACGAGAGGACTCTAGCCGCCACGCATATAAAGGATTCATAGTGAAAAACTTTGTTTTTACGGGTTAATTTTTTATTTTTCAAAAGCCACCTGGCCACAAATGACAGCTCGACGAAGCAGCTTACCACGTGGAGCAGCATGACACGTGATCGGTGCGAGGTGCATTATGGTCGCAGCAGTGCAGAGGAGGAGGCCTTCATCCAGCAGCGGATAGAGACCGGCCGATGAGAGCCCGCGGCAACAGTCGTAGCAGTAGGGGCCTCGAAGCAGTCCCAGTAGGTCGACTCAGCCTTAAACGGGTGCCTGGGTGCGATGGGGAGACAAAGGCGGTCGGGCGTGGTGTTGGCCACCTGATCACTTCGTGTGCCGTGGCGGCCTTCATTGGCACCCGCTCACAGCCACGTGCCCCAACAGTCTGTTAGAAGGCCATATATTGGGGGTAGGAGAGGGGGAGGGGGGTGATCTTTGGCTTTGTCATTGAATGTGTGTCTAGGTGTGTGTGCGTGCGTAAAGAGAGAGGGCGTGAGGGGGCAGGAGAGCGAGAGTGAAGGAGGGAAGGGTGGTCGGGGCGGGGATGTGCGGGTGACGTGGTGGGGGTGGTGAGTGGGGGGGTAGAGGAAGAGAGAGGCAGAGGAGGGAGGGAGAGGCAGGGGAGGGGGAGAGGGAGGCAGGGAGGGAGAGGAATTGGCTGTGTGTGGAGAGAGAGAGACGCGAGACGACACACAGAGGAGGAGGCAGAGACAGATGGTAGTGGCTACGGAGCCGGGAAACCTCTTCCCGTCACCCTCACCGTACCAGCAGACGCGCACACACACAGACACATACACACAGCGGGCAGCCGTAGTTAGGGGGCAGTGGTAGGGATTTCGACGCGCTCCGGATGGAATAACTCTCGACTCTTGCTACCACGACGGCGGCGGCGGCAGGCGAGCGCACGGCTCAGGTAACCCCGTCCTCGAGCAGCATCGCATCGGTCAACTTCGTTCGTCACTTGACGATGGATCGTTCGTTCGTTCGTCGTTCATCAATTCGTTGCGTTCATTCGCGCGCTGGTACATTCTCCGTTCGATTCGAACGAACGCGCGCACGCACAGAGCTCGGCCGGTCCATCCTGAGTTCGAGCCCACCACTCGCACAGCTCACATCAGTGGCGAGAGGAATACCCCCCCCCCCCCACACACACAATCTTCACTGACCCGGCGTGGTGAAGCATGGCCCACGGTCCGCCGCCGTGACTTGGGGACAATACGGGGCAGGCATTATCATCCAGCAGTGGATCGATCAAGGGCTGGTACATTGTTGTTGTTGTTGTATTGCTGTACGTTGCAAATGGCTTAATGTGCGCAATTGAATTAACGCTGAAGGCGCCTTTGGGTTCGTATCTCCTTAGTCTGGCTCTGTGAGCCTCGCTGAATGAACAGGGAACACCACCGGGTTCGCCTTGGGCTGCTACGCTGTGTTTACTGTATGCCCGTCGAACTTCTTTCGCACCGTACGTAGCCACGCGTGCTTATAATCGGAGGTTGCTGAATTTTTTTCGAAATCAAGGACTTAGATTGTGGGACGGGAGTGGGGGGAGGGAGACGACGACGTTTGAAGACGTTTCCATTTCGAACCGCGAGAGAGAAAGCGAGAGAGAGAGAGGGGAGTTTGGACTTATTGCGCGAAAGATGCCCACGAGAGAAAGAGGCCGCCGAGAAACACTCCACGCGGATGGATTCAAGAATCCATCGTCGAGTAACCGATTCGGTTCTTCACGAAACACCTGGAGGGGTTTGTACCCCAGTGTAGGTCTCACGGGCCTGGCACACAAATCGGTCACCGCGCGCACAAAATCCTGCTGAGCTGCATCAGAGATTGGATGCGTTCGGGCTGCTGTGGTCTTGCGTAGATGTCGTTGATAAATCGATCACATTAGGTGTCGTTTTGTTGGTGTTATGATCATCATCATCATCATCGCTGCTATACAGAGAAATGTCTTGTAGTCCGCCGACCTAGCAGACTTCCAGACTAATGCTAACCCGGCCGCATCTATGTACGTTGTGTTGAGCAGATTTCGCACCGTATGTATCAGACCCTGCTCAATCAGGCTTCGAGCGCTCTTCCCCCTCTAACCCAGCTTAAATAGACGCTCCAAGCGTGGTGGTGTTTCATTCAGACGCTGTCTTCCCTGACAGACCTGTTCTTCACCTGAGGACGGCTGCTTGCGTTGTGGCCGAAACGTCGTGAGAATTATTTTATTATTTTTATTGTTGTTATTTCATTATTTCCCTTCTACGTGACTTTACCGAAAGAACCAAGAAGATGAATCCATGCAGTCACGAAATCTTTCAATCGAAATCATCAGCATAGCCCACGCGTGCTAAGCCGACACGTGCAGCTGGTTGAACGTTCATGATTGGGGGGGGGGGGGAGAGGTTAGTGCTTCCATTCGCTGCCTTACCTGTGCATATACCTGTAACTTTGTGGACCTCTGCTCTGTTTCAACAAATAACGTCGCTGCTGCGTTGGCAGTGGCGCACAGGCACAGCCTAACAACTCGACCACGTTACAGATGTATAACGAGGCGACGTTTCGGGCAATGGGCCTCCTTCATAAGCACGCGAATAGAGAGCGGGCGACAGAGAGAGAGAGCGATGTGGAGCGGATGGCAAGAATCACGGATACTTTTTTTTTGTTGGATACCCCTTAATTAAACACGCGTCTCTCTGCATCGATTAAGATCGAATCGTACCGAAGGTACAAACAAAAACAACAACAGGTTCGATCCGCGAGGTGGTCGTTCCAACGATGTCCACCGTTTGTTGCGATTGGTGCAGATTTCATCGGGGCCAGGTGAATCTGCGGTTTTGCAGCGAGCGGTTTGCGATCTGCGGAATGCCCTCTCGAGTTCGAATCGTGGGCGATTGCTTGTCTTAGCTCATCATCATCCCTCCCGGGCGGCGGGGGGGGGGCGATAAAATTACTACCGCAACAGTGCTTGCTCTATAGCAAGTGGTTCATCTTCTTCTTAACTGGGGGTGCACGATGCCCTTTCTGGGGGGAGGGGGGGGGTAGCGAGACACGGACAGATTTTGTTTAAGAAGCTAAATTATCGCAAACACAAATTAAGCACGACAGTAACAACTTTACTTTGTCTCATCAAAACCCGACGTGTATTTATTAACATTCTACATTTTTTTTTTTACGATTGGGAACCAAAGGGGGGCAAGGCTCTATGGGATAAACTCTGCCACCGTCATAGGAATGTGGAATTTCCACCTCTGAAGTGGGCTCATCATCATCACGTGGACATTGTATAGCGGCCAAATACTCTAAAACGCGTGATGTTGATTCTAAACGGGGAGAGAAAAACCCGAGGACCTGGAGAGAAATCCACGCGACCAGGGGGAGAGAGAGAGACGCAGACTCCAAATATACAGCAGCAGGCGTCAGGGTCGGGATCGAACCCACGACCTCCTGCATACCAGGCGAGGGAGTTAACATCTCCTAGCCACCGTGATGATGATGAGAGAGAGAGACACGCAGACTCCAAATACACAGCAGCAGGCGTCAGAGTCAGGATCGAACCCACGACCTCCTGCATACCAGGCGAGGGAGTTAACATCTCCTAGCCACCGTGATGATGATGAGAAAGAGAGAGAGACACAAAATTAGTAACCTGCCATAAAGTCTAAACGCACGGGGAATGATAACACTGCAAACTCCAAATATACAGCAGCAGGCGTCAGGGTCGGGATCGAACCCACGACCTCCCGCGTACCAAGCGAGGCCGTTAACATCTCACAACCGTGGCGGCCCCTGACACCAACATTAAAGGTTGCTTTTCTGTGACCGGGTTGCCTGCAACACCGTGACAGTACGCCGGGGCAAGCGCTGTTAGCACGAGCACCTTGCTGATCAGTCCCGACCGGGCGTCTGTGAAAAAGAGCTTCATAGCTCATCGGATTCCTCCTCCGGTCCGAAATAAAGATTACGAATTCCCTACAGGGCGCGGGAGGTGTGGGGGCGGTGTTGTCAGCACCACTCCCTTGCCGCCTTTGTCTTTTCCAGCGCTGATGCTTAACATGCACCGCACCGAGTCCTTATACTTGAGGCTAAGTTAGCCTACAGGAGGCCCAGGGCCAATGCAGGTGATCGTGTGACTGATGTTAGCTACGCTGACCACTGTGCCACCGCTCCTCACGCATACACAAGACAAAGACCCCCCGGGGTAGCCTGAACAGACTGTTGGGGCAAGTGCAGTGAGCGAGCTAAACGCACGTTTGGCAATGTTACCGGGATTGGTCGAATCCATCCCAAGTCTGAAAAATCTCCTGCAAATTGCTCGTTTGAGATCGCATATCAGCGGCAGCAGTAGCATCGCTCCCTCCTACTGCAGAAGCCTGGCAGGACCCTCCTGAGTACGAGTCTTGAGACTCGGTCAAGCTTTCCTCGCTGACCGATCACAACAACAACAATTATAACAAGTGTGTCCAGAAAAGCCTGAGTCCGGCCTGTTCTCGTTTTCAAGAGGATGCTGAGACATTAGCGACGATTTGGCCAATTGCAATGAAGTGTTTGTGCCTTGATGTGGGAGGGTAATGGATGGCTCCGAGAAAACCCACCGAGCGTACCGATGACACACAGACAACACTCCTATTTGTGGTGAGATGGGGGATCTTGGGGGCTTGATCTTATTTGGGATGAGATGGATCTTGGGGGATTGATCCTATTTGGGATGAGATGGATTTTGGGGGATTTATCCTATTTGGGATGAGATGGATCTTGGGGGATTGATCCTATTTGGGGTGAGAGGGATCTTGGGGGATGGATCCTATTTGGGATGAGAGGGATCTTGGGGGATTTATCCTATTTGGGATGAGATGGATCTTGGGGGATTGATCCTATTTGGGATGAGATGCATTTTGGGGGATTGATCCTATTTGGGATGAGATGGAACCTGGTGGGATGTATCTTATTTGGGATGCGATTGATCTTGGGGGATTGATCCTATTTGGGATGAGAGGGATCTTGGGGGATGGATCCTATTTGGGATGAGAGGGATCTTGGGGGATTGATCCTATTCGGGGTGAGAGGGATCTTGGGGGATTGATCCTATTTGGGATGAGATGGATCTTGGGGGATTGATCCTATTTGGGGTGAGAGGGATCTTGGGGGATGGGTCCTATTTGGGATGAGAGGGATCTTGGGGGATGGATCCTATTTGGGATGAGAGGGATCTTGGGGGATTTATCCTATTTGGGATGAGATGGAACCTGGTGGGATGGATCCTATTTGGGATGAGATGGATCTTGGGGGATTGATCCTATTTGGGATGAGATGGATTTTGGGGAATTTATCCTATTTGGGATGAGATGGATTTTGGGGAATTTATCCTATTTGGGATGAGAGGGATCTTGGGGGATTGATCCTATTTGGGATGAGAGGGATCTTGAGGGATTGATCCTATTTGGGATGAGAGGGATCTTGGGGGATGGACCCTATTTGGGATCAGATGAATCTTTGGGGGCAGAGTGAGACTCTATAAACAGATCCGATGTGTCCTATTTTGCCGTTCACGTTTTGCGAAGGACAGCGAGCGAGCAAGCGGGCTTTGTTGGCCGGACGCGCCGCTAGAACGGACGACGGACTTTTGGTCGGGCACCTCCGAAGAGGAGATGGAGCGGTGAAACTCCATCCAGAAGGCTTTGGGAGGGAGGGGAGGCGGAGGGCCCCACCTAGCAGTGGGTAGATCCTGGCTGGTGTTGCTTGCTGCTGCTGCTGCTGCTCCTGCTGATGATGATGCAAGTTTGACCGAGTGCCTTGATAATTCGTACAAGGTGGCGATGAGAGCGGCCGTGTAGATTTCTGCAACAAAAAAAATGTTAATAACAAAACGCGCCCAGCAATTAGATCGGAGCCAGAGGCGCGCGCTAACTGCCTCCAGTCACCCGAAATTGT